TAAAAATCGTTGTCTTAGGCCGGCCTACCGCCCAATTCGAGCGCGTGGCAAGATGTGACCGCCCGGCGATCGATATTGCTATGCGCACATCTCGCCACACGCTCGAATTGGGCGATAGGCCGGCCTAAGACAACGATTTTTAATAATTAATTACTCGTTAACTATTACGAAAATTGCAAAATGGTACAGGACTTTTCCATTCATCTCGATCCATTCTACCTTTTCAAAAATTTTGTCGGATATGGAAAGACTCACCCTGTATAAATAAATATATACATAGTTGATTTTTTCCTTTAAATTAAAAATAAAATCAAATAAATAAAACCTATCTAGATAAGAAAGAATTATATTGAATAAGCTAGACTTTTTGATATATTATAAAAAAATGTGAGATAATGATTAGGATGGGATCAAATGCAAAAGAATAGTTGAAGATAAAAGTGTATAGTAAACACAAAGTTAAATAAATAAAAATTATCAGGATAAGAGATAATAATTTTGAATAAGCCAGATTTTGAGATTTATTTAAAACGTGATATAGAATGAATGAAGATGATAGTGATAGTGACTAAAAGTGAAATTTAGTAAAAATGATAGAAAACTAAAAAAAAAAGAATAATGTTAATTGGCGTGCGCAATATAATATTTTAATGTTCTAATATAATGTGGAAGAACAACGGCGCGCGCGAAGCACGCGCTTGTGTTGTCTAGTAATCAAAATAATGGGTGCAGGGTGTCACAGAAAGGCTTCCTTCCTAACATTCGCTAACGGTTCGGATAGAAATTCTGTTTCTGTTATTTAAATTGATTAAATACAAAACTGCATATGCGATTTCGCAGGATTGGCTATTTCTTCGCACCTAGAAAATTGTTGCTGCAGTTGGCAAGATCAAATTTTCGAGTAATATAAAATTTATTCACAGAAATTGTTATTAGATTTCGCCCGATAATCGAAAATGCAGCGTGATCTTTTCGGCGCATCGTGAAATATCTCGGTCGCAAATAGTTTCGCACGTACAATAACTTGAGTCTTAAGAATCGCCGCCGTATCTCGCGTACGCTCTAATTACTCGAAAGTGCTCGATTGTAACGTGTGTCACCTAGTTACAGCAATTAGACTTTCCCCAGATAGTACACGTAGTTCTATAATGAATATTCTTCTGGAGTACAAATATTCCTAATTTCAGAATATTTGAATCGAATATATTCTATAAGTATATCTAGATTATTACAATTAGAAATCGTATATTCGTAACAAAGAAGAACGTTTTTAGAACATTCGTCGAGAATGTTCTTGGAATATTCGTTCAGAATCATTTTTGAATATTCATCGAGTTTGTGTATTGCACATTGTTTACTGTGTAACACATTTATCTTATGCAAAAGACAGTGAAACCTGTGATCATACTATATACCATCCCATACAGCACAGATGGTTGCAGTTACATTGCAGAAACGTTGCAATCTTGCACATTGCAGTGCAATCTTGCAGAGACATTGCAGGGATATAAAAAAAGAAATAAAATTGCAAACTTTCGATAGCAATATTGCAGCAATGTTTCAAAAATAACAAAAATACTATATTTTCTATTTAAAAAATTTTTCTTATTACGAGAATTTTATAATGTTATTTTCGTTGATACCAATAATGCGCGAATTATTAAGCACTTGATCAGTGCGGTGTTGCTCGCAATCTCCATCTATTGCGAAGCGACATAATCTCCTTAAGTTGTTTCGCAATAGCTTGCTGTGTATTGAAAAAGGCCCGGATGCATATGTAATTAGTAAATTCTCTTCTTATGTACAGCAACAACAAATTATTCCAAAAATATTGCGCTGCAACATTGCTATAATATTGCACTGCAATCTCTCTGAGGGCGGACATTTCAACGTTGCTGCAATCTTCCAGAAACGTTGCAGCAATGTTGCGCAACGTTGCTGCAATATTGCAATCTTGCAATGTAACATTTTTACAATCTTCCTGCAATCTTTCTGTGCTGTGTGGGTATAATAAGAATGACCTATGGAATATTTCCAAATATTCTTGAAGAAATGTTCATAGGAGTGTCCTATCTAGGTCTCGAGCGCTGATGACAAAAAGCGCAGCAAGCTTCCGCAACGATACGGCGTTTGAATATTCGCCGCCCTGAACATCTTCTCTCAAACAACTGTACCTCGATATTGCCTTCCGACATTGAAATCTCGTGAAATCACGTAATGACCGTGAGCTACATTGTTCTCATTAAAAATCATTACGTAGAGAAAGGTGCGATGCGCGATGCAGGCCTAAAATGCGGCTACGGCGCTCTCCTTTCTGCGATCTTATGCGATCGCGTCATCCCGCGGTTACCAGAGATCGAAGATAAATTGAAACTCTCGCGCGGATAAATTCCAGCGCGCAAATTTTAGTATCTCATCTTATCGCGCGACAAATTTTTCAAGTCTTGACCGCGAAATAGAAAATTTCCAGCGACTCGAGAACGTTTCTGTTCTGCAATCAATCAACACGTTTGAAACATTTGTCGTATAACAAATGAAACAATAAGGCAGGGTGCCCGAATATGGTCCCCTTTCCTAATCTGGCTACTCGTGATTTCTCAGCTCATATCGTTGCAAGGAGAACGCCAGCTAGAATATGTGAAGTGATACTATTTTAGTCTCATATGAAAGTTTAGTAAGTGCGCAAATACGTTTCCCTTCGTTTTTGTGTTCGTCTTTATCGCGAGTTCTTGCAACGTCAAAGTTTAATAGCCTGTTTTGTTTAATTTCACCACAGTTGTTGTTTCTTAATATCTTACATATGTATTCAAATTAATAGACAGATTGTTATTTGATTATCGTAAAAAGTTTATCAGCCGTAATGTGAATTTGACGAATTTCTCAAACGTGGCCTCACCACTATGCTTCTAATTTGGCCTCCTGTACAACATTATTTTGTTACTAAATATTTATAATTAAGAAGTAGACAATTTTCGACACAACTGGCCTGAATTTATTATCTCTTTTAATTTCTAATGATAAATTCGTTATTAGTTAATTAATAATATGAATTACTAAATTTATTATTAGAAATCACATAATAAATTCAGACCAGCTGCGTCAAAAATTGTCTACTTACAAAAATATAAGTTGGGGCCACATTTGGATATCCTGCCTCACCCTTACTCGCATCCACCCGATGTGTCTTTCGAAATCAGACAACGCTCTGGAGCTAGATCGATTCTAGAATTTATTTGCAAGAGAAACGTGCAAATTCTACTCTAATAGAACACTTGCAGGTTGATTGGTCATCGCATGTTGTTTTTAGCCAATCAACTTTTCTGCGTGGAGGAAATTTTCTCGAAAATCATGTAATCATGGGACAACATAGCATTTTGAATTACTTTATGAGAGTTTCTTGAAATTTTTCCATATATTTTACTAGTAAAATATGTGTGCAAGTAGAATTACTAGTAAAATGTATGGTAAAATTTGAAAAAATCTCTAAGTTCTTCAAAATGGCATGTTGTCCCACGACCCTGCCGGAAATAATTCGACAAAATTCTACAAAACTATAAAACGTAACTGCTTCAAGTTGCAAAAGCTGCAAGTTGATTGGCTATACATTTCTCGGAACTAGATTTTGGATACAATTCTTGGATCGTGAATACAAGGTTTAAAGGCCTGCGCCGTGCCGGAAATAATTCTACAAAATTCTACAAGAAAATGTATACTGCCGGAATCTAAGAAATTCTACGTAAATTTAAAGAGTGTTATAAAAATCAACATAAAAATGCTAGAATTGGAACGCTTTTGTTAATTTTCGTAATATTCTACAGATAAGCAGGTATTTTAATTCTTTAAGATTTTGTTGTTTCCCAAATTTTTTAAACTAGTAAAGTTTTGTACTAATTCTTACAAAATTGTACATTTTCGTGAAATACTACTTGCAATATTTTCTTGATTCGAGAACGTTGTAATCTGTGATACTATTTCGTGGACATTTTTACAAAAAAATTAATGTTTCAACAAAGATATAACAATTTCTATTTCAAGTCAATTTTTTGTAGTTATTTATAGAAAATTTCTCGGCTAGGGGATTGCGTGATTTTCAGAGTGAATCTTAGAGAAAATTCCCTCCGTGTGTAAGAGCAAAATTTGCGCGTACGTTTTTCTTGCGACTAAATACAAGAATCTAGTTCCTGATATTTCGCGATGGTACGTCGATATTTCCAGTGCACCGGGACGCGAGGCGAGGCGTTAATGCCGCGGCGGCGCGGCGAATAACGCCGCGTCGGCGAACATAGTCATCCAGGGAGCGGCTACTGTCAAGGTCAGAATCTCTATTGTCACAGAGCGAATAGCGACGTGCAGTTTTTTTTTCGTAACAGCGAGGAAACTCGCTAACGGTCTCGTACGCGGAATTGCAATGCGGCGCGGCGTGCGATCCCGGCGGCGAGGATTTTTACCTCTAGGACAGTCCACCGATCGTCGGGCCTCCGCCCTTCGGCACTCCAGGCCCTCCTCGCCCATGGGACAGCTCGTGAACGATGCCTCGATGGTATTCTCACCGAGTATCGCGTCGATCTGAAAATATTTCATCATCATATATCGCCACCTGAGCATGGAATTCCGTCACGCGTACGTTCGCCGCCGCGTTACGACACTCATTTCGACGGCAAACACCGGGGCATCGGTTAACGCGCGAGCGTCCGTCGGATTTTTTCTTCAAACAAAATTCCTTATCGCGTCGCGTCCCTGATCGCCGGTAGAAAGTTCTGCCACGGGAAAGTCCGTTTTTTAATCGCTCGCGACTAGCAAAACTATTGCCTCGGCGTTCGCGCGGAGATTTAAAATTAATTAGATCGAACAACCGAGGTGAGAAAAGGATTCGAGGTCGGCGGAGGAATCTGCAAAGTCTCGCACTCGGCGGAAGACATCCCGCGGCATCCGCGTATACTCGTATGTGCGAGTCCCAGTCTACAATAGATGATTTAGGTCCGGTTTCACTAACGTTGTTTAAGTTTAAGCTTAGCTTAATTCGTTCTTTGTCTCTTTCCAACTATTACTTTACCCATACAGCACAGATGGTTGCAGTTACATTGCAGAAACGTTGCAATCTTGCAGATTGCAGTGCAATCTTGCAGAGACATTGCAGGGATATAAAATTGCAAACTTTCGATAGCGATATTGCAGCAATGTTTCAAAAATAATGAAAATACTATATTTTCTATTAAAAAAATTTTTCTAATTACGAGAATGTTATAATGTTATTTTCGTTGATACCAATAATGCGCGAATTATTAAGTACTTGATCAGTGCGGTGTTGCTCGCAATCTCCATCTATTGCGAAGCGACACAATCTCCTTAGGTTGCTTCGCAATAGCTTGCTGTGTATTGAAAAAGGTCCGGATGCATATGTAATTAGTAAATTCTCTGCTTATGTACAACAACGACAAATTATTCCAAAAATATTGCACTGCAACATTGCTATAATGTTGCACTGCAATCTCTCTGAGGGCGGACATTTCAACGTTGCTGCATGCAATCCTCCAGAAACGTTGCAGCAATGTTGCAATCTTGCAACGTAACATTTCTGCAATCTTTCTGTGCTGTGTGGGTGCTTTAAGTAAGTTGTAAGCCTTAAGCCGTAAGAAACCAACCAATCACAGGCATTTATTCCCCTCACTCTCGCCTGCGATTGGTAAATCTTTTACGGCTTAAGGCTTACAGCTTACTTAAAGCAAGATTGTGGACCAGGGGTTGACCGCGGTCTACAACAGGTGATGTAAGTTCTAAGCGCTAAGAAATTGACCAACCACAGTCGAGTATTCTCCTCATTTTTGACTGTGATTGGTCAATTCCTTAAGGCTTAGGGCTTAAATCATTTATTGTAGACTGGGACTAGTGCGAAGTCTACAATGCGAGCCGCAGAGTCGTAGTCGTAAGAATTATTTGTCTGACTGAATTGACCAATCACAGTCGATTGTTCTTACGACTGCGACTCCGAGACTCGCACTGTGGACCCCGCGTTAGGGTTCAAATCGCCTATTGTAGACTGGAATCTTGGTAAAATTGGACCTTAAGCGCCAAGCCCTAAGAAATCGACCAATCGCAGTCGAAAATGAGAAGGATACTCGACTGCGACTGGCTAATTTCTTAGTCCCAGTCGACAATAGATGACTTAAGCCCTAAGCCTAAAGAAATTGGCCAGTCACGGTCGAGTCTGATTGTGAGTAGAATACGCGACTGTGATTAGTCAATTTCTGACGGCTTCGGGTTTAAATCTCTATTGTAGATGGGCGCTCAGGGCTCAGAGCTTAAATCGCTTATCGTAGACCGGGACGAACGTAAAAGGGTTCAACCGGTTGCACGGTTAACAAACTGTTATTACTGGCGACGTAACAGAGGCCGCACCGGTGATTACTTCTCCTCGTATGCCGCGCGCGTTTATTTCTCATGCGGTTGCATCACGCGCGCGAGACGATTCGCTCGGAATCATAAATTCGACTCGTGGCGAAAAAAATTGGACGGCGGTTTCACCTCGGCACTGAGTTTTCCATTTTCCGTTCTCGCACGACATAAACGCGCACACTCGCGACTCTGTCTCATAAAATCCTCAAACGGGACGTGCTTTGCTGAAAGTGGCAGGTACGGTCGTGGTCAGAAAGGTTGTCCGATGTTTCACAATATCGTACATATCATTTCTTTGTTCTAATAATACGTCGCTGCGCATATCCGTGAGCGAAAGCTACAATCTCTCGCATAATAGACTGCATTTCCGAAATTTATCATAAAACCGGACGACCTTTCCGACCACAATCGTACATCGCGATTGTCTCCCTCGAGTCGACGTTGCCGGAGAATTTTTATTAACGATTTCTTCGGAGGATTAGACTATTCAAGCGCGAAGTTGAACTAAACGCGATCTCGAATAATTAGAAATACAGTAACAATATTCAGGTGATTTCGGGAGCCTAGTTTGACGTCCCCCTTACCTGCTTGAACGCGCCCGGCTTGGAGAACATCTTCACCAGCTTCGCGAGCGCGTTCTCCGCCTGAATCCGCTCCGCGACGTCGGTGACGTTCGTGGATTCGCAGCGGGCTCCGCGCGGCGGAAGAAACGCTAGCAGAGCGAAGAGAAACGCGAGCACGCACCGGTCGGAGGACATCGCGCGCGAGATAAAAAGAAACAGTTCAAGAGATAAGGAGATAAAGATCGACGAGCCCTCGGCCGCGCGCTCGGTCCCGCGCGCGCGATTCGAAACAGGCGACTGGTGGCGGTCAGCTCGCCGGGAACTCGGTGCTCGTCCATCTGGTGGGGATATCCCACGTCGACGTGGAAAAGCATCGCCTTGCGTACGCGGAATTGGCTCGATCTATGGAAACGAGAACGCTTTATCCAAGCGCGCGACGTAGGCGGGTCTGCAAATGCATAATAACGAAGAGAATAAGATGCGCTCAATTCCGCATTTTATTCTCTTCGTTATTATGCGGTTATTGCGTAATTTTCCGTGCGTCGTTTACCGACGATTACACGAGGCTTTCGACATGTCGCGTATCTGCGCGAAAAACGTATGCGGAATGACTTTTGTAAATCGAGAAGATCGACTCACGCTCTCTTATTTCTCGTGGGCGATGAATTTATTTGACAATTTGACTTAATTAATAAATTATTAATAAGGAATAATATTCACGTATTTACACGAGGACTAGATGTGTTGTAGACTTTGTAATGTGAAATACTTGTCCTTTGCACGTAAGAGAAAGAATAGACCGTGCAACAAAGTTCAGCCTTCCGGCATTGTTTCTTTATGGTAATAATTCAGGTAGCACAGGTGGTTCGTACACATTTTATATACAATACGTTTCGTAAATGATAACCCAAATAGCACAGGTAATCAAGGACGTTATAAACTGAAAAATAATCCATTTTTAAAAATTCTTTATAAATTAGTGTAATCTGTTCAAAATGAACTTTAAAAGAATTTCTCTTGTATCTGCGAAAGAGCAAAGAATTGGCATGAAAACGATTTTTTGTTCAACTTTAATTAAGAATAGGGTAAATATGCAGAAAAGGTCACACCTCACCGATTTCCTCGCCACTTAGATATGTTGTAGGGGAGAGTTTTCTGAGTAATTCCCTGCAAGAATCAAGTGGGGGACGGCATTGGTTTAAGAGATATAACAAATTGAAAAATAAAAATTTTAATACTTTTTCTTAGTATTTTTTATTAAAATGCCTGTGTAGCTACCTTTAAAATCATAAACAAACTACCACTTTCATTTACAAGGTCACACCTGCCCCCTCCCGCAACGGTCGGTACGGATTGAACACACACATACACGCGCGCGCGCGCACGCTTAATTCTTCTCGCGGCGCAGACTGACCGAGCAAGCGAGATCCACTCTACACCTCAGATATGGTTTGGGTATGGTTATATTTTAACGAAGTGGAGCCCCCCCGGAGGGGGGGGGGCGGAACATACTGTCTCCACGCATGTACTTCCACCATTGTACTGTTCCACATAGGTTTGCAACTTTCCACGTGAAGCGAGATCCACTCCACACCTCTGACATAGGGTGGGTAGGGTTATTTTTAACGAAGTGGAGCCCCCCGAAGGGGGGGCGGAACACACTGTCTTCACGCATCTCCTAAACCAATGCCGTCCCCCACTTGATTCTTGTGGGGAATTACTCAGAAAACTCTCCCCTACAACATATCTAAGTGGCGAGGAAATCGGTGAGGTGTGACCTTTTCTGCATATTTACCAAGAATAGTTTAACTACACGGAGAGAATTGTTTCTTAACATTTATCCTGAAAATCGTGTAATCGTGGGACAACGTGGCATTTTGAGGAATTTTACAAGTTTTTTGAAATTTTACCATACATTTTACTAGTAATTAAACTTAGTATACATTTTACTAGTAGAATGTATGTATAAAATTTCAGAAACTCTCGTAAAATTTTTCGAAATGCCATGCTGTCCCACGACTACACGATTTTCAGGGTAAGTTTCAAGAGAAAATTATCTTCGTGTAGAAGTGGGACGAAAAAATAATTTTATTTTATAATTCAGTAAATCAAAAAGAATTCCTCGTGAGTTCTCCGTGCTGTGTAGGAAGATATCGAGGCATGGAATGGTGGCTTTAGAACAGTGTTTCGTTCCAAAGATTAACAAGAAATCATTATAGTGGTGCGTAGCACCCCAAGGGTTGAATATTTTTATTTATTTTAAATATTATACTATATAAAAAAACAAACGTAATACGATAAAGCGCGCATGGGCTCGAAGTATTGAGAATTTGAGCACGAGAGGACGAGAGAAAGAAGCTTATCTTATCTATATCCTTCTCCAATGTCCGAACTTTTTTGAAATAAAAATTCAGTGGTGTTAAAATTATTGTAATTGAGTCAGAAGAAGTTGAATATTAAATACGTTGCATTGAAAAGACTAGAACTCAAGACGTTGAAATTGGAGATGCGAGAAGAACGTTTTGAAATTGCTGAATACAAATTGGGGATCAGATTTTCCAAATTCAAAATAGTGGATATAACATGGAGGACCGAAATTTAAAAGTGACGCGATTAGGTTGAAATGTGGTAATTGGGGGTTTTAATGACATACTGCGTATATAATTTGTGTGTTCCAAATCATCTGTATACTTAAAATAAATTAATGTACGCATTAAAGAATGTTACAATATGCATTAAAAAATAATTTTATCGAATTCGTTAAATTCAAAATGTATCACGAGACACGGTAGTGTCTCGCGCCAAGTGTAAGCGTAGCTACCCATACAGCACATGATATTTCCCGAATATTCTGTACTCGTACTGCAAATATACGTAGGTACCGTATATAACATACTTCGAATATCACTAGAATATCTCTAGTAGTATGTTATATCACATAAATTCTCAGGAAGTACTTGTAATATCTCATACAGTATATTATATTTTATATATTCTTGTACATTACTCAGAATATATA